TTTTTAAATTGGATTACTTGATTTGTTGCTGTTTAACTTCTTTAGTTCATTATATATTTTGGATATTAGCCCTCTGTCAGATATAGGGTTGGTGAAGATCCTTTCCCAGTCTGTAGGGTGTTGTTTTGTTATGAGGACACTATCCTTTGCTTTACAGAATCTTTTCAGTTTCATGATGTCCCATTTGTTGATTGTTGATCTTAGAACTTGTGCTGTTGGTTTTCTGTTCAGGAAGTTGTCCCCTATGCCAATGAATTCTAGGCTCCTCCCTACTTTTTTGTCTAACTGATTTAGTGTGTTTATGGTCTTTGATCCACTTGGACTTTAGTTTTGTGCAGGGTGATAAATATAAATCTATTTGCATATTTCTACATGTAGACATCCAGTTAGACCAGCACCATTTTTTGAAGATGCTATCTTTTGTCCATTGAATGGTTTTGGCTTCTTTGTCAAAAACCAAATATCCATAGGTGTGTGGGTTTATTTCTGGGTCTTCTATTCAATTCCACTGATCTATCATTCTGTTTCTATGCCAGTTTTTATTACTATTGCTCTGTAGTACCGTTTGAGATCAGGGATGGCAATACCTCCAGAAGACCTATTGTTGTACAGGATCTTTTTGGAAATTCTGTTTTGTTTTGTTTTTTTGTTTGTTTGTTTGTTTCTCCATAAGAAGTTGAGAATCTTTCTTTCAAGTTCTGTAAAGAATCGTGTTGATATGTGTGTGTGTGTGTGTGGTGTGTGTGTGTGTGTGTGTGTGTGTGTGTGTGTGTTTATGGGAATTGCATTGAATCTGTAGATTGCTTTTGGCAAGATAGCCATTTTCACTATGTTAATCCTGCCAAGCCATGAGCATGGGAGATCTTTCCATCTTCTGATATCTTCTTCTAATTCTTTCTACAGAGACTTGAAATTTTTTTCATACAAGTCTTTGACTTGCTTGCCTAGGGTTACTCCAAGGTACTTTATGTCATTTGTGGCTATTGTGAAGGGTGTTGTTTCCCTAATTTCTTTCTCAGCCCTCTTGTCTTTGTATACAGGAGTGCTCCTGATTTTTTTGAGTTAATTTTGTATCTGGCCACTTTGCTGAAGGTGTTTATCAGCTGTAGGAGTTCCCTGGTAGAATTTTTGTGGTCACTAACATATACTATCATATCATCTGCAAATAGTGATACTTTTACTTCTTCTTTTCTGATTTGTATCCTCTTGATCTCCTTTAGATGCCCTATTGCTCTAGCTATAACTTCAAGTAGTATGTTGAAGAGATATGGAGAGAGTGGGCAGCCTTGCTTTGTCCCTGATTTCAGTGGGACTGATTTAGTTTCTCGATGTTGGCTATAGGCTTGCTGTATATTATCTTTACTATGTTTAGAATTGTGTCTTGTATCCCTGATCTCTCCAAGACTTTAAACATGAATGGGTGTTGGATTTTTTCAAATGCTTTTTCAGGATCTAAGAAGATGATCGTGAGGTTTTTCTCCTTTATTTTGTTTATATGGTGGATTACAATGATGTATTTCCGTATATTGAACCACCCTTTCATGCCTGGGATGAAGCCTACTTGGTCATGGTGGATGATATCTTTTATATATTCTTGGATTTGGTTTGCCAATATTTTAATTGAGTATTTTTGCATCAATGTTCATAAGAGAGCTAGGTCGATGTTCTCTTTTTTTTTTTTTTTGGTCTTTGTGTAGTTTAGGTGTCAAGGTGACTGTGGCTTTATAGAATGAGTTTGGTAATGTTCCTTCTGTTTCTATTTTGTGGGATAGTTTGAAGAGAATTGAAGGAAGTTAGCACTTCTTTGAAGGTCTGGTAGAATTCTCTGCTGAAAACATCTTGCCCTGGGCTTTTTTTGGAAGGGAAACTTTTGATGACTGCTTCTATTTCCTTGGGGGATATAGGACTATTCAATCTGATCTTGATTTAATTTTGGTAAATGGAATCTATCAAGAAAATTGTCCATTTTCTTTAGCTTTTCAAAATTTGTGGCATATAGTCTTTTGTAGTAAGACCTACTGATTTTTTGGATTTCTTCAATGTCTATTGTTCTGTCCCCCTTTTCTCTTCTGATTTTGCTGATTTGGATAGTTTTTCTCTGCCTTTTAGTTTGGTTAGGGGATTGTCTATCTTGTTGATTTTCTCAAAGAACCAGGCCTTGGTTTCATCGATTCTTTGAATTGCTTTATTTGATTCTAATTTACTGATTTCAGCCCCGAGTTTGATTATTTCCAGCCGTCTATTCTGATTCTTCCCCCCTGCCCCCTCGGGCTTTTAGGTAGGCCATTAACTTGCTTGTATGAGATGTTTCAAATTTCTACTTGAAGGCACATAGTGCTATGAATTTTCCTCTTAGCACTGCTTTTCTTGTGTCCCATAAGTCTGCGTTTGTGCCAGCATTTTCATTGAATTCTAGGAAGTCTTTAATTTCTTTCTTTATTTCTTCCCTAACCCAGCAGTTATTGAGTAGTGAGTTGTTCAGTTTCCATTGCTTTTTGCTATTTCTGTTGTTGTTGAGGTCCAGCTTTAGTCTATGGTGATCAGATAGAATACAAGGGATTATTTCAATCTTCTTGTATCTGTTGAGGCTTGCTTTGTGACCAACTATATTGTCTATTTTGGAGAAGGTTCCATGAGGTGCTAAAAAGAAGGTATACCTTTTTGAATTTGGGTGAAAATTTCTGAAGACATCTATTTTGTCCATTTTATTTAGGACCTCTGTAAGTGCCTTTTTTTCCCTATTTACCTTCTGTCTAGAAAATCTGTCCATTGGTGAGAGTGGAGTGTTGAAGTCTCCCGCTATTAAGGTGTTGGGATCGATGTGCAATTTAAGCTTTAATAATGTTTCATTTACAAATGTAGGTGCTCTTGTATTTGGGGCATAGATATTCAGAATCGTGATGTCTTCCTGGTGGACTTTTCCTTTGATGGGTATGAAGTGCCCCTCCTCATCTGTTTTGATTAATTTTTGTTGAAAGTCTATTAGATATTAGGATAGCTACCTCAGGTTGTTTTCTGGGCCCATTTGCTTGAAAAATATTTTTCCAGCCCTTTACTGAGGTAGTGTTTATCTTTGTTGCAGAGGTGTGTTTCTTGGATGCAGCAGAGTGTTGGATCCTATTTCTGAACCATTCTGTTAGTCTGTGTCTTTTTATTGGAGAGTTGAGTCCAATGATATTGATAAATGATAGTGACCAATGAATGTTAGTTCCTATTATTGTGGAGTTGGTGGTGTTACTGGGTTTCAATGCTTGTTTTCTTTTAATTTTTTTTTGTTGTGAAAGTTATCTGTATCCTATGTTGTCTTGGGTGTAGTTGTTTTTGTTAGATTGGAGTTTTCCTTTTAGTATTTTCCGTATGACTGGGTTGCTGTGTAGATATTGTTTAAATTTAGTTTTGTCATGGAATATTTTGCTTTCTCCATCTATGTTGTTGAAAGTTTTCCTGGGTATAGTAGTCTGGATTGGCATCTGTGGTCCCTTAGAGTCTGAGTGACATCTGGCCAGGCCCTTCTGGCTTTCATAGTTTCTCTTGAGAAATCTGGTATGATTCTTTTTTTTTCTTTTTTTTTTATTTAATTTTATTTTTTTCTTATCAGTTACATTTTATTAACTCTGTATCCCAGCCGTGTCCCGCTCCCTCATTCCCTCCCAATCCCACCCTCCCTCCCTCATCTCCACCGTGCCCCTTTCCAAGTCCACTGATAGGGGGGACCTCCTGCCCATTCATCTGATCCTGTTTTATCAGGTATCTTCAGGACTGGCTGGGAAGCCCTCCTCTGTGGCCTAACAGGACTGCTCTTCCCTTGGGGGGGTGGGGAGGTCAAAGAGCCAGTCATTGAGTTCTTGTTAGACATAGTCCTTGTTCCCCTCACTATGGGAAACCAATTGGTTACTGAGCTACCACAGGCTACATATCTGGGCACAGGGTCTTTTCAGAGACTGACATTCAACCAAGGACCATGTATGGATATAACCTAGAACATCTGGTATGATTCTGATAGGTCTACCTTTATTTGTTACTTGGCCTTTTTCCCTTGCTGCTTTTAATATTTTTTCTTTGTTCTGTAGGTTTAGTGTTTTGATTGTGATGTGATGTGAAGAGTTTCTTTTCTGGTCTAGTCTATTTGGTATTCTGTAGGCCTCTTTTATGTTTATGGACATCTCTTTCTTTAAGTTGGGAAAATTTTCTTCTATGATTTTCTTGAAAATCTTTTCCAGACCTTGGAGTCTGGAATCTTCTTTTTCCTCTATTCCTGTTATTCTTAGATTTCATCTTTTCATGGCCTCTTTGATTTCTTGGATGTTTTGTGTTTGGGAGTTTTCTGATTTTACTTTTTCTTTGAGAGAAGTATCAGTTTCTGAAAGTGTATCTTTAGCACCTGAGATTCTCTCTTCCATTTCTTGTATTCTGTTGGTGATGCTTACCTTTGTGGTTCCTGATCTTTTCTCTAAGTTCTCCAGCTCCAGGCTTTTCTCTGTTTGTGTTTTCTATATTGATTCTAATTCTGTTTTCATGCTTTGAATCTTTTCCTTCATCTGTTTGAATATTGATTCCTGTCTTTCTATGATGGCTTCTATTTTTTTGTTGTTGTTGTTTGTTTCCTGTTTATATGCCACTAATTGTGCCTCTACTTGTGCCTCTATTTATTTGGCTATATTTGCCTTTATTTCTTTGAGAGCTTTGTTTGTTTCCTCTTTATGTGCCTCCATTTGTATGGTTATTTCTCCGAGAGATTTGTTCGTTTCCTTTTTATGTGCCTCTAATAACTGGATAAGCATAGCTTTAAAGTCATTTTCCTGTGTTTCTGATGAATTGAAATATCCATTGATTTGGGGGGTTGCTGGCGAAGCCATGATGTCCTGATTTTTTTGGGTGTGTTCTTACACTGATGTCTGGCCATCTGCTTATCCATAACCTTCACTGTTTGTTCCTGGAGTCTGTACCTCAGACTGGGTCCATCTTTCTCTGGTGTCTGGAGTATTCCTCAGGAAGATGAGAGAGGTCCACTGGTTTGGGAGTGTTCGTTGATGTTTCAGCCGTACCTAAAGGAGGAAGATCTGCTGCTGTAGATGCACAATTGTGGGCGAGCAAGCATGCACGTATGCATGGAAGTGTGTCTTGAAACACAGGGTGCTAGAGAGCGTAGAGGCTTGGAATGGGGGGTGCAGGCACGGGAGGGGGTGTGGAGGCTGGAACTGATCGTGGGTGCAGTGCACATGCTCAGATTTCCTGACTACCTCAGTGGTCTACAGGCCTGTCATACTGTCCTTCTGGTATTCAGATCTGTCTGGAGTTGTTTGCCTGGACTTCACTGGTAGACCCTTAGAGCGGGGGCTTCAATGTGAGAATGCTGTCCCAAGATTTCCTATGTTGCCCACAATGGGGCTGTGGGTTGTAGGGATCTGATGTCTGGCTGCTAGCGTAGAGGGACCCTGGATCTGGGGCTCAGCACGCACTCACTTGAAGATGCACTCACTCTCTAGCAGGACCATTCGGAAAGCACTGTTCCCCCTGTTCTCTACTCTCAGATTTGATCATGCTGGGGTGAATGTGAATGTGAGCCATCTGTCAGCTCAGTGGTGTTACATCTGCAGAACATGGTGGATGGTGTTTTGGTCTACGGCGAGTTCAGGCACCTCGCCAGAACTGGGAGGCCACTGGAACAGATACCTTCTGGAAGGCCCTAGGAAGCCTCGGACCTGGTTGGCCTGGTGGACCCTCAGGCACTGTGCTCTGTGCTAGGAGCCATGGGCACTGCAGGCACCTCCCCTGCCTCCGCCACGGAAGGAGTAGGGAGGCCCAAAAAGGGGAAGTGCCTGGGGATCGAGTCCCCCGGAGAAGTTCACGGAGAAGCCTGCTCTTGGCCTGGATCCACATGGCTTCAGCTCAGGTTTGTCCCCTTCCTCCCAGGAAGCCTTAATGTCGATGTTCTGGGTTTAGCTGCCCTTCACTCACCAATTTCAGAGTTTCAGATTCTCTGCCCCTCAGATATGGTGCACCCTGGTCACCGCCATCTTGGATCCCCCCAGAAAGCAGTTTGTTTTGTAGTTGTCTACTACTTCTTGCTCTTAGGATCTTTCCATCCCCTCTACCATGAGCCTTGGGAAGAGGGAATGTGACATATTTGTGATATCTGGGGCTAAGTTTCCACAGTGTCTTTCTTCCTCTGGCAGCTCACATAACACCTTTCAACATCAAATGCTATCCAGTAGGAAAGAAGTGTCCAGGTAAGGACCAGGTTGATTTCTCCATGTTCTATGTCCTGGATATGTGGCACCTTCAGCAATAGGGTCTTACTGTCAAGTTCTGATGGATATCCAAGAACATTGGCAATATACTTTAATTAATGTTTGAGGACCTGTGTAGTCTCACTGGCCAACAAGTCCAAAAGAGGTAACTCTTTCCTGGCAGTAGACTTATATTTGTTTTCCTCACCCATCCCGCCCTCTGTTTCTTAAATTGCTCGCTCACTACTCACTGTGTCTGTCTATATCTGTCTGTCTATCTATCTATCTATCTATCTATCTATCTATCTATCTATCTATCT